TACTAATTATAGTTTTTAAATTTAGTATGAAATTGTAAGGCCAGCTATGATGTATAGTTCATTATGTTGGGCTGTTGATAAGAAAGTAGAGCAGAGAATTAGTGTAGCAGAGATGAGAATGTTTAGGTCGATGAGTGGAGTGACTAGAGAAGATAGGGTAAGGAACGAGCATATAAGTGGAAGTATAGGTGTTGGGTCAATCGTAGATAAGATGATAGAAAATAGACTTAGATTGTTTAGTCATGTTATGAGGAGAGAAGAATGGGAAGCTGTAAGAACAGTTATAGAAATGAATTTTGAAGCAAGAAGAGGTAGAGGAAGACCAAAAAGGAGATTGAGGGATGTTATTGAATGCTACATGAGAACAGCTGATGTGAGCATAGATGATGAGGGAGATCGTGTCAAGTGGAAGCTTAGGATAAGAGTGACCGATCCCTAGTAATTGGGATTAAGACAAAGAAAAAGGAAAAGATTACCAGAAATTCCGGTGGCAATTGACATAATATGATTGTTGTTTGGAAATGAACAATTTAGCTTTTAGTTGGGTTTAAACAATATAGCGTCAAATCAATTACCTACTCTATCGCTTGTATATTAATATACACCACACTTCTATGATACAATAAATAAATAAACTCACACATACACACATATGCATTTATAACATTGTGTCTAATGTAAGTATAACATGATAAAAAGTAACCGTAAAATGAAGAAAATGGAATATAAATTTTAGTACTCATATTTTTATTATAAAGAAATTTAATACAATCTTAGATTGTTAGATTAGTAAGGATGCAATACTTCTTAATTTAATTTCATAGTATATTATGTATAATTTATTATATAAAATGATCCATAAAACTCTTTTGACACAGAGAAATTGTAATACTTCTGAAGTAAATATTCTGTGTTTTTAATTTTATAAGTAATATTGCTTACATATAACAACCTAGTATAAACTTTTGAGCATATGATTTTGATGAAAACTAAAGGTAGACAAATAATTTTTACAATAAAAACAATTATCGTTTTATGGCATAGATTTTTAGTTGGGTGAAAGACCTAATTAAGAACTAATAATTCAAGAAATATATGTTATGTTAACTATACAAACCGATAATTTAATTTTTATACAGTAAAAATTTTCACTAGTGGCTAAAAATATTTTAAATTTAAATATTATAATCAATTTTATTAGAAGGGTGACCTTTACTAGGATGTATAGCTGACAAAGGATTAAACATAATTAAGAGTAGATTTTACAATTTACCTGTTTAACATTTGAGTTTTCATAATGCAATTTTAATCTTTTCAAAAAAAATGTTTACGCATAAGCGCTCAAAGAAAAGTAATGAATTATAGGGCACTTGCAAAAAGACCCGCGTTAAAAAATATAGCAATAAGTACATGGGCGTCTGTCGTCAGTCATATTTACACTAGTCAACGTTCAGCTATAATAAATACAATATTTATATATCAATTTTGAACGCTCTGCAAAAATATATTGTGAAGAAGACTTAAAATATGACCAAACGATTACTTTAAAAATTATAAAATTAAATATCAACCTTAATAAATTATGTATTTTTATACACCAAGTATTTTTATCGACTAATAATGTGAACAATATTCAAAAGAAAAATAAGTTTTTATTGAGTAAATGAATTTTAATACAATTAAAAAGAATATTTGCAATAATACGAAAAGTTGCCAAAAAAAAAGTTGATAACGTAAACAAAATGTATATGAAATTGTTAACAAATAAAAAATAAAATAATATACACGTAATATTCAAATAATTAACATGAAACTGATATTTGTTCTCATGGAATTTGTATTATAACAGTGCCACTAGCCATACATATCTCTCTTTTAATTCGTTGCAGGAATGGATTCGTGTTGGCATCATAAACCTGTTGTACATTATAATGATGGCCGTTATGAATAACTGTTTCAATATTGTCAACCATTTGATCATGACGAACTAGAAAAGATATTTATTAAATATAAAATTAAACAACTTTTATTTCTATTTTCTTACTCACGAAACTAAATTATGTTGTATTAAAACAATTTTACTTACTAGGACTGTGACACATTTTTCTTCTTTTAATAATTTTGATCTCCGATGTCTCATAATTTTTCCTTTTCAAGTCTGACGGCTCATTTTGACCTGTCATATTTTCTAACAATGATGCATTGAGACCAACTATATAATTGCTTTAATGTAAACAAAAAAAAATATTGATAAAATAATTTTTATATATTGTAATACGTTCATATCTTTAATATAATCATAGTTTGTTTAAGTTTCAGTGAGAATTCAATAGTTTTATTACTTGTAATGTAACTATTCTGTGTTGTTTAATTTTATATGAAATTTTGTTTACTTATTTTAAAAAAGATAATAATAATATTACTTTTGACGTTTTGACATATTTATATTTGTTAAATTATTTCCACGATTCAAAATCTTATTAATAGCTTTCAGGCGATTTTGTTTCATGATTTCAGGAGGGATACGAGTATATTTTTTATTTCTAGTTTCTAAAATATTCAAACGTTTTATAACAGATTTCTTATAAATTTTTGACACTGTAAATAAATAAAACTTTAATTAATAATTGTAAAATTGTTTTAATCTTTAAAAAATGTTGTTTTGACTTCAAGTAATAAATCGCGACAAATAAATAAATATCTATACAATGTGACACTTACTAATGGAATGCTGTGCTTCACTTTGTAATAGTACCGTTTAGATTAATTAAGAATTATGATAATAATTTTTAAGATAAATAGAATTTAACTGTGTATATATTATCGCGTATTTGAGATGGATGAGAGAATATAAGAATCGTCGAATGCAAAACGCCAACTGAAAGAATTGACAAAATTATGTTGTAAACTAACAAAATTTGTAAAAGTTTTCACTGTTTCAATGGATACGATAATTTATATTTTAAACCAGCATGGGTTTTTGTTACATTATTTTTTTGTTAGTTATTATGCATTTTATATAGCCATAAAAATGTCAGCATATATGATATTTTGATGACTTTTTAACTATGACTTCATAACCAGCTTGCAATGAATAGAAATATATGTCAATTCAATAATATTATTATTGTTTCTCAATTTTCGAACTTTTAAATTCGATTTTATTAATACAAGTTTTAATAGCGAGTTTATATAATTGATCGCTAGGAAAACTTTTATTTACTTTTATTAAACAGAATTTTTTTTTTCATATTAAAGTTTATTATACATGCTTTAGTTTAAGACATATATAAAAGTGTCAGTATTTTTGTAAAACTTTCAAAAGTTGTGAACAGTTGTCATTTTGAATACCCCATGTGGGCAAGTAAAGTTTCAGATTTATCATAAAAATATACCAATATTTATGTATGTTATTTTTTTGTTGAGATTTCCCCCATTTACAGGGAACGAGGACAATTTTTTCAATTTTTGGGGTTAGGGCTTTGACTAGATACGATTTGTGATCTTTTGACGTATCGTTGATAGAAATCAGTCCAGTAAGAACTGAGGAAAATATGCAAGAGAACAAAGAATATAAACATATGTGTCAAGAAATAAGAATGTTTATATGGATGAGTGGAGTGACTAGAGAAGATAGGATAAAGAACCAACGTATAAGAGGGAGTATAGGTGTAGCGTCAATCGTAGATAAGATGAGAGAAAAGTGATCTAGATGGTTTGGTTGTGTTATGAGGAGAGAAGAATCGGAAGCCGTAAGAACAGTTGCAGCAATTAATGTTGAAGGAAGAAGATATAGAGGAAGATCGAGAAAGAAATGGAGATATGTTATTGAATGCAATATGAGGACAGCTGATATGAGCGTAGAGGATGTGGGTGATCGTGTCAAGTGGAAGTTTAGGATAAGGGTTATGCATGTAGTTGAGATTAAGGTGAGAAAGAATAAGAAGAAGAAGAGTTTATGTACTATTTGAACAAATTATTCATTAAGTGGGACTCATGAATTATTTTACTACAAATTTAAAATTATTTCTCTATAATAACAAAGTTCCAAATCCAAGTCATTCTCCTCACTCATTTTTTTACATAATTAAATTTCATACTATGAATTATTAATTTAATTATTAATATAATTAAATTTCATACAATTATTTAATCCGGATTTAGGATCAATCCGTTTTATCCGGATTCACGGATTCNATTTCGGATCAATCCGTTTTATCCGGATTCACGGATTCAATCCGTTAATTCGGATTTCGGATTCAATCCGTTGACTCGGATTTCGGATTCAATCCGGCTTCTTTGTTTATGAGATAATCAGCTATTTTTTCATTATTATCAACCTGAATAATGCGAATTACGATCTCAGATCAATTGAAAATTGACTGTTATAAGAGCCTTAATAGCAAATACACCCGGGTTTTCGAGTTGTTCACAATATTTGACATCTACCTGTGCAGTAAGAGCTAGAATTTAGAAAGAATCAAGTTGGCATTTATTATTTTTATTAATATAAAAAAAGAATTTTTATGTGCGTACATAATATGTATAATATATTATACTTGTGTCAAAGTTAAAAAAAATTATTAATGAAGTCAAAAATAATAAAATAGAATATTAAAATAAAATAAAATAAGTAGTATATTGTTTTTTTAGTTTTGAAAATTTTTAACCAAAATTGTTAATATTTCTTTCACATAATGCTAATTTATAATTATTGTAATTTAGCATTATGTGAAAGAAATATTAACCATTTGGCTGTTTCACCAGCCAGACAATTTCTTTTAGAAGTTATAATATTCCCCGCTGTAGAAAAAGCTCTCTCTGAGGGCGTAGATGTTGACGGGATACATAAATATTTTTTAGCAAGTTTTGATATCACTGGATATTTCTTGTCATTTTCAGCCCACCATGTTAATGGACAGGCATTCTTGTTAATACAGTTTTCTTTTAAGTATTTGTCGAGCTCATTTTGTTCAATTATATCTTCACCATTATGATTTTGGGGAAATAAAATATCCAAAGCAGATACTACAGGGTTTGGCTGATTGGTAGTATCATCAATTGAAGAATCTTCATAATTTAAATGATGCATAATAAAATCTTTTAAGGTAATTAAAGTATCACTATCGTCATCAAAAAAATTTTTATAACGTGGGTCTAAAAGTGAAGCAATATTTAGAAGAAATTTAGAATCATTGTGCATTTGACTAAAAAATCTTACTTCGAACTCTTGGGACAATGTTTCTTTAAATATTTTAATTTTATGTTGGTCAGATTCGTTGGGAGTCAAATAGTGTTGGACAATACTTTTTAAAATTGGATGTACAGTTGATATTGTTGGAGTTGTTGCAGATGATAAGACTTTAGTAACAAGATCGAAAGGCTTGAGCACTTTAACTAACTGCTCCAATAGCTCCCATTTACTTTCGCTGAGTTCCAGTGATATTGCTGTTGTTCTAGTTGTGGTATTACGGTCATTTAAAACTATGCTTATACATTGTCGAGATTCGATAAGTCGTTCAACCATTGCATAAATTGAGTTCCATCTAGTTTTAACAGACTGAATTAATTTTTTTTTCTGGCATTTTTAATTTTTTCTGTGCTACTTAAAGTGCTTTGATTGCTACTGTTGAGTGTTTGAAATGTGAAACGATTGAAGATGCAATAATTAGAATTTGTTTTATTTCATTTTCTTCCAAACCTTTGTTAACACATAACTGCAATTAATGAGCGAAACATGTCTTACTTTTAATGTTTGGAGCCATTTCAGTAACGGCATTCTTAATATTTACCGCATTGTCATGCACAATACACATAGTTTTTGTATCAATTTCCCATTCCTTCATAATATCCAATAATTTTTGTTTTAAATTTATACTGGTATGTCGCTCATCCATTAATTCAGTTGTAATAATATAATTGACCATTTTCCAATTTTTATTAATGCCATGTGCCGTAACTGTTATATAAGACTCTATAGCTTTACTGGTCCAACAGTCAGTAGTTAGTGCTATTGAGTCTATGTTTTTTATTTCATTGGCTACTTTATGTCTTTCTGTCTCGTATAGTCCTTGAATCTTCCTTTTGATTGTAAACCGACTTGGTATTTCATAATTTGGTGATATCTTCTTCATAAATTCAATAAAACCAACACCATCCACTGTTGATAGTGGCAGCATATCTTTGGCTATAAATTTTACAAGGCTGTCTGTAATTTGCTCTTGTCTTTTGGCTGATACAGACGGCGAAAAGAACATTTCAGTAATCTTTGGCTGCATTAATACCCCTAAGTTTCCAGATTCTGATACTGATGTAGATGTTGATGGTTCAGTATTCATGCTATTATTTTGCTGATCACTATCATTGTCATCCTCTTCTAATGATCTAAAAGCATAATTCAGTTTTAAATTTAAATGTATCATAAATTTTTTTTTATTTTTTACATAGAAATTGTGAATTATGTAATATGTTGAATACATCAAAATAATTTATGGCTCATATTGGTAATATAAATATACCCAAATAAAATAGTTACCTTTTTTTTGGTTTATCACGAGAAAGTCCATCCATATTGTGTTTAATTCTCAAGTGATTCCATAATGTGCCTGGTATATAAGTACAAATACAAATTATTCAAAATTACAAATAGGTATTTAAAATAATAATATTGTCAACCACTTAAAGGACTACCCAACCAAAAAACAAGTTTTTTTTTTAATTAAAGAAAAGAACAATAATTTTGGTGATGACATTTTTTTTAGACCACTCGTTGTTGACTTACGGGCGCACAGTGTTCCAATTTATCAAAAACCTGGCCAAAATCCTTTTTAAAAATTTTAATTTTTTTTTATTTTTATGATTGGTATTTATTATACGAAAGCTGAGCTCTTTAAAAAGGTAGCACTTATTAAGTTTTAAGCATTAATTAAAAACTTTATTAAAATGGGAACATTAGAGGGGTCGTTAAAAAACTATTTGGCAGAATTCCAATGAGTGCACCCCCGCAATTGATTCGAAAAAATAAAAAAAATATCGTGTAACAATTTCAAATCGATTGATACATTTTAAACCCGTGATTTAGCCATTTACTTTTTCCCATTTAATTAACATGGGATTTTATGTATCTTGCAAAAAATCACAAAAAAAATAATGAAATATGATTTGGAAAAATCTGAAACCTCTCAGATCTTATCTATATTGATAGTACTTTAAATTGCACAAAAAAAAATTTACGAAAAAAAAATTTCAAGAGTTCTATTGCTACTTTTAGAATACCATTTCTTTATAATAGACGCATTATAATTATGACAAAAATACGTTTTTAATCAAAAAGTCATAAAGGAAAAAGTTATAGGACTTTAATGGAGTAACACTATGGTAATATTGGTTTTGGTCCAGCATCTCAGTTACGGATGCTGTGGACCACTCTTTTACCAGATGAGTTTGTTATTTTTTTAACAAAAAATTACTCATAAAAAAGGAACAACTTCTTCCTCTAGGACACACCCCAATGCCTTTCACATCAATTTATAGTATCAGTTATTTTAACAATTAAAAAAATCGAAAATCGGGGAAAATTATATTGAATAAAACATAATATGTTTTACTTTCAAAATGCCTCATAAGTAAAATAAGATATATTGATGTTTCCATAGTTATAACAAATTAAATATAGCCTCCATAAGAATTGTATGGCCGCCGCCTCGGTAATGGAATCCGTGACGTCACGCGCCTCTTTAATACTGCCCGTAAGTTAAGAACGGGTGGTCTAAAAAAAAAATTTCACCAATAATATTTTTCAGGTTTTTTGTTTTGTATTTTGAGTTAATAAAAAAATTTTAATTTAAAAAAGTTAATATAAGAATTTTTCAAAACAAATATATTTTTTGTGTTAGGTAATCAAGTTAAAGAGTTTAAAAAAATGTCAACATTAATCATTGAAAAGCAATAAACAATAAATAATTTACTTAAAAATACGGGTAAATGATAATTAATACTCGTAATTATTAGATAAAATGGATAAAAATCGTATATTATAGATATTTAAGTTATTGTTTTAGATTTCTAGAATAAAATCTTTTCAATTTTATTACACCTATTACATATTATTATGTTATTGTAATTTACCTGTACTCCCTTTAGTTTTGAAACTTTTTCCACAAGCATTGCAAAAAACTAAATGTTTGTTCTCTTCATCAACGCCTTTCGTAAAACTCGCCCAAATTTGAGACATTTTTTAATACGATACGTACTAAGACAGTACTACTAACGTAATGCCTTTTGCCTGCTATTAAATATTGATAAAAGTACAATTGTTATCTACGTGATATGTGATATCACGTAGAGCACAACACGATATTTATTAATAGCACTTCTGAACAATAACAATTCTCGCTATAATAGAATAACCCATGAAGATTTGTTTACATTAAACCGGATTGGATACTTTAATCCGGATTGAACGGATTGTCACTTTTGTTTCAATCCGGATCGATCCGGATCGGTAATCCAGATACGGATTGATCCGGATGCGGTGCTCAGCACTATTCCATAGTTTACAATATAAAGTGTTGTTGCCCACTATAATATGCTGATACGTTGTAGATAAAACAAAATATATTTTATTTAATGTCACCAATGGTGGATATACATTACTATGTCGAAGACCATTACCTTGAAATTAATGAGAAATATTAAAGGTAAAAAATGAGATACACGTGAATATTGAAGATATTCAAGTAATAATAAGATTTGTGTTGATTAAGAATATTAAACCCAACCCGAAAGCAAAAACCACTCTGAAAATGAAGGGATAAGAAAGAAAATAAAAACAATTATTAAAACAAGAAATAAAATTTTAACCTACAACTTTTAGACAGTACACGTGAAGTGTCTTCCGCATCGGAACAAGTCCGTATACTACGGGAATAAGATATATGTATTAAATATACAAGACACACCACTGACCAATAACCTTTTAAATAGCAATTCTAGCTCATAGTAAATAATGAGAGAAAAAAAAAATATATATATATATTATATAAGCAATAAATTTTAACAGAAAAAAGCTCAAAACAATAATGAATAAAAAAAATATATCATATCCAGTCCCGGATGGGATTCATCCTACGACGGGGAATGGCCGAAGCCTTGTAACAGTTAATTCATCGTTTTTAAAGAATATCACACACGAAACAAATTGGCTGTACGTACACAGTAAAGTACCACTTCGGTGGTTAATAGTGAAGAATGTCAACCGACGACAACGATCACGTTTGGGAGAGGTATCGGTCAAACAATTTACAGAATAAAAAATAGATAAATGATAGAACAATATTAAAATTATACAGATATTAACAATATTATATAAAATTTAATAAATATTAAATTTATTTAAAATGTTAACTTTTTTGACATGAAACAATGATAAAGCATATAATAAATCACCTTAATTATATGATTTACTTAAATAATTCATATAAATAAAAATATGAAAGCACATATATGAACATGCATTGACATACTAGAAAAATAAATAAATTATAGAAAAGTTATACTTTGCAATATTACAAATTATTGTTCAAACTGTAGTATCAGAGTTTTATGTGAATTTATTATCATTATTTGGAACATAGGCGAATAATGTCAGCTACGTGAAGCAAATGGTCGATAGACACTTGAAAAATTACAGTGATACGACGCTGTATATTTTTTATAAACATCTGAGTATATATGATCACATGCACTTGTTGTAACTCAAAAAGAGAGACGAAGGAATTATATAAAACAATTAATTTAAAAGAATAATATAAAATATATAATATTATGTATAGATGCGTTGCTTGAGCAGATATTGAAATAATTGAGACTCTTATGGTCTTAAGCTTAATTCCTTATTATTATTTTTTTTGAGTTACTTTTTATATCGAGGTCAGTGTTCCGAGGGTTTTCTTTTTTTTTTACTAATACAATTCCAAAGAAAAAGGAATATTACTATTCATATGTATATGTAAATTTTAATTTACTAAAAATCCAGAGCAATCGCCAACCGTAAAATAACAGCTCAAACGAAATCTGCTCTATATAGATTCAGTTTTACCAAAAGTACTTATTTACTTTATTATTTATATAGAAATTTTATGTTCAGCATTTTTGCTTACCTTAGAATAAGTATTCTTTTTTTTTTCTTTTTTAAAATGTGTCTTTTCACACTGATGATGTTGATAAACTAACTGACATTCAGAGATTCTAAGTGAAAGTAAGTTTTTTATGCCACGTTAACCCGTCTTTTATACTTTTCTTTTAATTCAATTAGAGATCAACATCATTAGTGTTTCCAGATATTTTTATTGACATATAATTTAATTGTGATCAAAGTTTACAATATTTTCCTTAAATACACAATAATATGAGTAATAAAATGATAGCATAATTTTTGTCACGTTAATACTATTATTACAACACACTAATTATTATTAATAAGAAGTACTTAATTTCTATATTTGTCACAAAAAACCCATGCTGGTTTAAAATATAAATTATCGTATCCATTGAAACAGTGAAAACTTTTACAAATTTTGTTAGTTTACAACATAATTTTGTCAATTCTTTCAGTTGGCGTTTTGCATTCGACGATTCTTATATTCTCTCATCCATCTCAAATACGCGATAATATATACACAGTTAAATTCTATTTATCTTAAAAATTATTATCATAATTCTTAATTAATCTAAACGGTACTATTACAAAGTGAAGCACAGCATTCCATTAGTAAGTGTCACATTGTATAGATATTTATTTATTTGTCGCGATTTATTACTTGAAGTCAAAACAACATTTTTTAAAGATTAAAACAATTTTACAATTATTAATTAAAGTTTTATTTATTTACAGTGTCAAAAATTTATAAGAAATCTGTTATAAAACGTTTGAATATTTTAGAAACTAGAAATAAAAAATATACTCGTATCCCTCCTGAAATCATGAAACAAAATCGCCTGAAAGCTATTAATAAGATTTTGAATCGTGGAAATAATTTAACAAATATAAATATGTCAAAACGTCAAAAGTAATATTATTATTATCTTTTTTAAAATAAGTAAACAAAATTTCATATAAAATTAAACAACACAGAATAGTTAAATCACAAGTAATATAACTTTCGTATGTGAAATTCAAAACTATTGAATTCTCACTGAAACTTAAACAAACTATGATTATATTAAAGATATAAACGTATTTCAATATATAAAAATTATTTTATCATTATTATCTTTGGATAAATATAATTTTCATTGTTATGTATAGTATTTAGAGAAAACTAAGCACAGGAATCGTAATATATTTTTATGGCAATTAAAAATTTAACATAAATTTGTTTACATTATAGCAACTATACAGTGAGTCTCAATGCATCATTGTTAGAAAATATGACAGGTCAAAATGAGCCGTCAGACTTGAAAAGGAAAAATTATGAGACATCGGAGATCAAAATTATTAAAAGAAGAAAAATGTGTCACAGTCCTAGTAAGTAAAATCGTTTTAATACAACATAATTTAGTTTCGTGAGTAAGAAAATAGAAATAAAAGTTGTTTAATTTTATATTTAATAAATATCTTTTCTAGTTCGTCATGATCAAATGGTTGACAATATTGACACGGTTATTCATAACGGCCATCATTATAATGTACAACAGGTTTATGATGCCAAAACGAATCCATTCCTGCAACGAATTAAAAGAGAGATATGTATGGCGAGTGGGACTATTATAATACAAATTCCATGAGAACAAATCTCAGTCATGTTAATGATTTCAATATTATGTGTATATTATTTTGTCTTATTTTTCATTTGTTAATAATTTCATATACATTTTGTTTACGTTATCAACTTTTTTTTTGGTAACTTTTCGTATTATTGCAAATATTCTTTTTAATTGTATTAAAATTCATTTACTCAATAAAAACTTATTTTTCTTTTGAATATTGTTCACATTATTACAATAAAAATACATAGTGTATAGAAACAAATAATTTATTAAGGTTAATATTTAATTTTATAATTTTTAAAGTAATCGTTTGGTCATATTTTAAGTCTTTTTCAATATATATTTTTACATAGCGTTCATAATTGATATATAAATATTGTATTTATTAAAGCTGAACGTTGACTAGTGTAAATTTGACTGATGACAGACGCCCATTTACTTTTTGCTATATTTTTTAACGCGGGTCTTTTTGCAAGTGCCCTATAAATCATTACTGTTTTTTGAGCGCTTATAAGGATGCCACACCGCGGTAATTTTGGGCTTAAAAACTATTAAAAGTATAATCTTTATTACACGGTCTAAACTGATCGTAGTAATTTGAAATTTTGAGGATATTTAAAAAACAATATTTTGAAATGTTTGTAATGGGCCTTTTTTCTTAAGATTTATATTCTAGCCGTAACATTTTTGTAAAGATACAAGTTTTTTTTTTTTTTAATTTAAACAGTTTATTTATGAATGTTTGTAATGGGCTTTTTAAGATATCACTAAAAAGCCCATTACAAACATTTCAAAATGTTACATTCTTCACCTTCCCGAAATTTCAAAACTCTAAGATGAAATCTAACAGGATTAGATCAAACATATAAATGAAGAATAAATGTAAACAACTGCGCTTTTTAGTCGAGTCGACAAAAATCGTACCACAAGCAGTTAGTTGTCGTCAGTGATCGTGGCGTTATCTTTATGACCATTATAGCGGCATTTTCAATTCTCCGAGAAATAGAAATATTTATTTATATGCCACAGTAAAACATTATTTGATTTTGCAATCATCAATTCTGTCCATCGATAATATCTAGGTGTATAAAAATTTCCTTACTGATCTAATAAAGTTACGGCAAATCCTTGTTTTTTAGTGAAGGTACTTGGCATGCTCAGATTTTGATATATTTCTTTTATTTGAAAGCTCTACCTGGACGCCGTAGAAATTATTTGCGTAAGCTATCGCGGTTTTGCGGTGAGCTTTTGAAGTCGCAACGTCTTTACTGAAAACGCTTACAGTCGCTAGTGAATTACGATTTAATATTAGTTCTTATTGGACCAATATTTTTGTATAATACATCAAAAGATTCCAAAGTATACCTAGTTAAAAATATAACGCACAAATATTCAAAAAACTACCTTCAAGATTTTTATTTAATTTTTTTTAAATATAAATATCTCAAAATAAATCGAGAATTATAAGTAACTAAAAGAAATCAAACTTCATTTTTTCAATATTTTGTTTATATTGCGAGTAATCAAGTGGTTTAAGATAAACTGATCACCATGTATACAGAGAGATTAATTAATGTTGAAACACTCATTTTTTTCGCTAACTATGGAAAATTTTTAATTTTTGGTAATGAAAATATTGTTTGATTCAAAAAACTCTACTATAATATGTAGTAAAAACATGATATTTTTCATCCTTTCAAATTTAAAATACATTAACTTGAGTTTTCTTAGATGGGAACCCCTGTTTTGAATTTTATATTATGATTGAAAAAAATACCTAGCCCAGTGGGATGGCATAGTTGGGTCCAGTATATATGATATCTGACAATGATTAAAATACTATCATAAAAAACATTTGGATGCAAATCTGTAGACAGTGTTTAATTTTAAAAAATTAATGGATTATTCTAAAAGCTACATGATCTCCTATTTTATTATTTATATTCTGATTACTAGTTTTATGATTTATAAAAAATAATGTACGAATAAATAAATGAATATATATGTATATGTATATCTCTCTCTTCTAAAGGTCTTGCCTTGTCGTTTTACCAATAGTATATCTATTAATAAATTAAGTGCAGTGGTTTCCCGTTGCCTTCTCTGCACTGTCAACATGGTGCTTTTTAGCCACCGTAGAAGCGCACGCATGATCACCCATCCGTTTACCTACGGCGGAAGGCGCGACTTAACATATGTCAATAACTAGTGTGACCACCGTGCCACATCACGCCTATATGTATATATTAATAATATACAAACATAAATAGAACTTACCATAAAAAAAATATAATGATCCATAAATTTTTCAAGAAGTTATAATATTATGAAGTTAAAAATATAAAAAAGAATTTTTTTACAAAAATCGTATTTTTTTTTATTAAATTTGATGTCTGTTTTCACCATGAAGACAAAATAAAATCCAAAATTTTTTTTTTTCATGATAAAGTATATTACATTAGTTATAATTTAAGATATATATATATAAAAGTGTCAGAATTTTCGGCAACACTTTCAAAAGTGAGCTTGAAAAAAATAATTTTTTGTGAAAACGATGTAATTTTGAATTCTCTCTGTGGGCAAGTAAAGGGTTACATTTATAAAATCATTACACCAAATGATAGGTAAAGTTATTGTGCATTTATAAAAAAAAAAATTATATTGATTTAGTCATTTTTAACAAAGTTGTGACAGTTTTAAGGAAAATAAATTGAAAAAA